CATCATCAGCCGCAGCGGGTCGCGTCTCTACTACAGCTTCCACAACCTGAGCACGGGCAAGGTGGACCACAACTGTCTGTTCCCGACCAGCGCCGACGCCTTCCTGGGGACACGTTCCAGCAACGTCTCGCTGCTCACCTGTGGAAATGTAAGAGAAAAAAAAAAGAATGATGATGATAGTAGTAATAGATATAGCATTTGTATAGTGCAAATTCCCGCTCACCAGCAAATGAATAACTGGAGTGTGGGTGGTTAATGGATGCTCTGGTGTGGTGTGCTCCTTCTTTATTATCAAACATTTATGGTGTTTATCTCTTCTCCTTCTTTTTATGTTTTTTTACTCTCTTGTAACACCTCTACTCTTTGGCACTTATATGACCTAATTGTGTTGCAAGTGCCGTAAAACTCTTACTAGATAAAGAGTAATGGCAATTACGTATCACGTACATGCTTTCTTAGCGAACATTTCAGAAAAGACGTGTCGTCTCATCCTTCTCCTCTGACTTTTGCATCATCTGTGTGCTTTCAGAAGGAACATTTTTTAAAGAAATTGTTTAAATTGTCTTTCCACCTGGACTTTTTCACATGTGCAGCTTGTGTGTAGCTGTGTGTGTAGTAAACGCCAGGGACAGAGAACTCTGACTAAAGTGCTCGTCTCTCTTGTCTTCATGGGAGGGGAGCTCCAGAGGCCAGGGACACTTGTCTCCTCACTACAGTGTTTGTTCGTCTCCCGTTTTGTGATGACGGTTGGTGGGTGGTCTAGTGTGGGATGAGTCTTGTACTTTTATTTTCAATGTGATTTTTATAAGCTACTTCCTTTGGAATTGTGTATGTTGTTGTGGTGCTTCACCTTGAATCTCCATGTCCCTTTATCCGGTGGTCGGCGGGCGCTCTGGTATGCTTTGCTTCTTCTTTCCCATAGAAAATCTATTGTCCTTATTGCACCTCTTTGTTTTCTTTGTATGTTGCCCTCTAGTAGCACCTCTACCCTTGTACACTTATTTGATCTGTTTAAAACTCTTACCAAAACTAGTAAAAAGGATGGGGGGTTGGCGGGTGCTCTGGTGTTTTTGCTTCTTCTTTCCTATCAGACATCTATCGTCCTTTTCTCCCCTTCTTCTTTTTTATGTTTGTTACTCTCTTGTAACAGCTCTAATCTTCTGGCGCTCATATGGCCTTATTCTTATGCAGTTGCGAGCACCGTAAAACCTCCACTAAAACTTTTAAAAAACTAGAAAAAAGGGTAGGAATCAGGTGATTGGTGAACCTACTTGTGTCAGAAATGTAAAGGACACTGGTCCAATGTAAATGACTGTAAGATGGGTGATGACAGCGTCAGTGGGGTGTGTCCTTGTGAGAGGGAACACGTTGACCCAGCCATTTCAGGTTGCTGCACTGAGACTTCCTGCAATGATGTGGTTTTTATTTCTTAATGTTTTGTGTTTGTTGTAAAGTGCATAGAGCTTATTGGTGAGCGGGAATTTGCGCCTTACATTTGCTATCTATGTATTATTATCATTATTATTGTTATCATCATTATTACTAACATTGTTATTACTATCATCATTATTATTAACTATCATCATTATCATTATTATTACTATTATTATTGTTGTTTCCTTTGAATGAATTTTATGACTTTTGCATCGTCTATGGGCTTTCTGAATTAGAAGGAACATTTTTAAAAAGGAATTGTTTAAATTGACTTGCCTTTCCACCTGGACTTTTTCACACGTGCAGCTTGTGTGTAGCTGTGTGTGTAGTAAACGCCAGGGACAGAGAACTCTGGCTAAAGTGCTCGTCTCTCTTGTCTTCATGGGAGGGGAGCTCCAGAGGCCAGGGACACTTGTCTCCTCACTACAGTGTTTGTTTCTTCATCTCCCGTTTTGTGATGACGGTTAGTGGGTGATCTAGTGTGGGATGAGTCTTGTACTTTGTATTTTATGTGAATATATTGAAGGTTACTGTGTTGACTCACCTTGAACTTACATTTTCCTTAGTGGGCGGTTGGCAGGCGTTTTGGTGTGGTTTGTTTCTTCTTTCCTGTAAAAAAGCATATATTGTCCCTATTGCTCCTCCTTGTTTTCTTTGTATGTTACTCTCTAGTAACACCTTTACTCCAGGACACATATTTGATCTATCTGTGTTGCAAATACTGTAAAACTGTTACTGCAACTAGATAAAAAAAAAGTAGTGATCAGATGGTTGGTGAGAGTGGTTGTGTAAAAAATGTAAAGATGTTTTTGAGCTAAAAAACACTTGGTTCCTATGTCATATCACGGTGCTACACCGAGACATCTTGCAATGGTGTGTTAAAAAGAGAAATGTTAATTTGTTGTGTCCTTTGAATGATCAATATGACTTTTGTATCACATGTTTGCTTTCAGAAAGAATATTTTTAAAAGGAATTTTTTAGATACTGTCTTGTCTCGCCTTTCTCTTGTTTGCCTTTCCACCTGGACTTTTTCACACGTGCAGCTTGTGTGTAGTTGTGTGTGTAGTAAACGCCAGGGACAGAGAACTCTGGCTAAAGTGCTCGTCTGTCTTGTCTTCATGGGAGGGGAGCTCCAGAGGCAAGGGACACTTGCCCCCCCCCCACTCCCCACATTGCACCTCCGTGCTCCTTAGTTGGGCTGTTCGCAGGTGCTCCTTCTTTCCTATCAAACATCTATCATCTTTATCTCTCCTCTTTTTTTATTTTTTTTTTTTTACTCCCTTGTAACACCTCTAGTCTTATGGGCACGTATATGACTTTATTGTGTTGCAAGTGCCGTAAAACTCTTACGAAAAAAAACCCTTCTCCTCCTTTTCTTTGTATGTTACTGTCTAGTATTACCTCTACCCCTGGACACTTATATGATCTATTTAAAACTGTTACCAAAACTATTTTTTTTAAAAAGGCAGTAGTCAGGTGTTTAGTGAACTTTGTTGAGCAAAACTGTAAAAACACTGGTCCAATGTAAATGACTGTAAGATGGGTGATGACAGCGTCAGTGGGGTGTGTCCTTGAGCAAGAAAACACATTGACCCTATCATCATCATCATTATTATCATTATTATAATCATTATAATTATTATTATTATTATTATTATTATTTCCTTTGAATTAATAATGTCTTTTTTTCATAATCTGTGTTCTTTCAGTAGGAACATTTTTAAAAAAGGAATTGTTTGAATTGTCTTGCCTTTCCACCTGGACTTTTTCACACGTGCAGCTTGTGTGTAGTTGTGTGTGTAGTAAACGCCAGGGACAGAGAACTCTGGCTAAAGTGCTCGTCTCTCTTGTCTTCATGGGAGGGGAGCTCCAGAGGCCAGGGACATTTGTCTCCTCACTACAGTGTTTGTTTGTTCATCTCCCGTTTTGTGATGATGGTTGGTGGGTGGTCTAGTGTGGGATGAGTCTTGTACTTTGTATTTTATGTGAATATATTGAAGGTTACTGTGTTGACTCGCCTTGAACTTGCATTTTCCTTAGTGGGCGGTTGGCAGGCGTTTTGGTGTGGTTTGTTTCTTCTTTCCTGTAAAAAAGCATATATTGTCCCTATTGCTCCTCCTTGTTTTCTTTGTATGTTACTCTCTAGTAACACCTTTACTCCAGGACACATATTTGATCTATCTGTGTTGCAAATACTGTAAAACTTACTGCAACTAGATAAAAAAAGTAGTGATCAGATGGTTGGTGAGAGTGGTTGTGTAAAAAATGTAAAGATGTTTTTGAGCTAAAAAACACTTGGGTCCTATGTCATATCAGGGTGCTACACCGAGACATCTTGCAATGGTGTGTTAAAAAGAGAAATGTTAATTTGTTGTGTCCTTTGAATGATCATTATGACTTTTGTATCTCATGTTTGCTTTCAGAAAGAATATATTTTAAAGGAATTTTTTAGTTACTGTCTTGTCTCGCCTTTCTCTTCTTTGCCTTTCCACCTGGACTTTTTCACACGTGCAGCTTGTGTGTAGTTGTGTGTGTAGTAAACGCCAGGGACATAGAACTCTGGCTAAAGTGCTCGTCTCTCCTGTCTTCATGGGAGGGGAGCTCCAGAGGCCAGGGACACTTGCCCCCCCCCGCCCTCACATTACACCTCCATGCTCCTTAGTGGGCTGTTAGCAGGTGCTCTGGTGTGGTTTGCTCCTTCTTTCCTATCAAACGTCTATCATCTTTATCTCCCCTCTTTTAAAATTTTTTTTTTTTTACTCCCTTGTAACACCTCTAGTCTTATGGGCACGTATATGACTTTATTGTGTTGCAAGTGCCGTAAAACTCTTATGAAAAAAAACCCTTCTCCTCCTTTTCTTTGTATGTTACTGTCTAGTATTACCTCTACCCCTGGACACTTATATCATCTATTTAAAACTGTTACCAAAAAAGTTTTTTTTTAAAAGGCAGTAGTCAGGTGTTTAGTGAACTTTGTTGAGCAAAACTTTAGAAACACTGGTCCAATGTAAATGACTGTAAGATGGGTGATGACAGCGTCAGTAGGGTGTGTCCTTGAGCAAGAAAACACATTGACCCTATCATCATCATCATTGTTATCATTATTATAATTATTATAATTATTGCTATTATTATTATTATCATTATTATTTCCTTTGAATTAATAATGTCTTTTTTTCATCATCTGTGTTCTTTCGGTAGGAACATTTTTAAAAAAGGAATTGTTTGAATTGTCTTGCCTTTCCACCTGGACTTTTTCACACGTGCAGCTTGTGTGTAGTTGTGTGTGTAGTAAACGCCAGGGACAGAGAACTCTGGCTAAAGTGCTCGTCTCTCTTGTCTTCATGGGAGGGGAGCTCCAGAGGCCAGGGACATTTGTCTCCTCACTACAGTGTTTGTTTGTTCGTCTCCCGTTTTGTGATTACGGTTGGTGGGTAGTCTAGTGTGGGATGAGTCTTGTACTTTTTTTTTTAAGTGAATATTTTCAGCTGATTCCTTTGTAATTGTAAATGTTATTATGTTGACTCACCTTGAATCTACCTGCCCCCTATTAAGTGGTTGGCAGGCGCTTTGGTGTGGTTCTATTGTCCTTAACTCTCCTCCTTTTCTTTTTACGTTACTCTCTAGAAATATCTCTACTCTTGGGCACTAATGACCTATTTGTGTTGCAAGTGCCCAAACACATTTACTAAAACTAGAAAGAAAGAAAAAGGAAAGCATTGATCAGATGATTTGTGAACTTTGTTGTGTCAAAACTAAAGAACACTGGTCCTGGATAAATGACTGAAAGATGGGAGGTGACAGGGTCAGTGGGGTGTGTCCTTGATCCAGAAAACACATTGACCCTAAGTCATTTTTACGGTGCTTCACTGAGACATCTGGCTATGATGTTTTTTGTTTCTTTTTAAAATGTGTTTGTTGTCTTGCCTTCTTCCTGTTGCCTTTCCACCTGGACTTTTTCACACGTGCAGCAGAGCTTGCTGGTGAGCGGGAATTTGCGCCTTACATTTGCTATCAGTTATCTATTATTATTGTTATTATCATTATTATTATTAATACTATTTTTATTATTGTCATTGTTATTATTATTATTATTTCCTTTGAATGAATGTGACTTTAGCATCATCTGTGTGCTTCAGAAGGAGCATGTTTTTAAAGGAATAGTTTAAATTGTGTTGCCTTTCCACCTGGACTTTTTCACACGTGCAGCTTGTATGTAGCTGTGTGTGTAGTAAACGCCAGGGACAGAGAACTCTGGCTAAAGTATTCGTCTCTCTTCTCTTCATGGGAGGAGAGCTCCAGAGGCCAGGGACATTTGTCTCCTCACTACAGTGTTTGTTCATCTCCCATTTTGTGATGACGGTTGGTGGGTGATCTAGTGTGGGATGAGTCTTGTACTTTTTGTTTTCAATGTGATTTTTATAAGCTATTTCCTTCACCTTGAATCTCCATGCACCTTTTTTGGGTCGTCTGCGGGTGCTTTGGTATGCCTTGTTTTCTTTGTTTGTTACCCTCTAGTAACACCTCTACCCTTGGACACTTATATAATCTATTTAAAACTGTTATATACCAGAACTATAAAAGAGGGTAGGAAGGAATCAGGTGATTGGTGAAAGTAATTGTGTCAAAAATGTAAAGAACACTGGTCCAGTGTAAATGACTGAAAGATGGGTGGTGACAGCGTCGGTGGGGTGTGTCCTTGAGAAAGAAAACACATTGACCCTAAGTCATTTCAGATTGCTGCACTGAGACATCCTGCAATGATGTGGTTTTTATTTCTTAATTATGTTAGTTTGTTGTAAAGTGCACAGAGCTTGTTGGTGAGCGGGAATTTGCGCCTTACATTTGTTATCTATCTATCTATTATTATTATTATTATCATTATTGTTGTTGTGGTTATTTTCATTATTATTAATATGTTATTATCATCATTATATTAATTATTATTATCATTATCGTCATCATCATCATCATCATTATTATTATTATTATTATTATTATTATTGTTGTTTCTTTGAATGAATAATATGACTTTTGCATCATCTGACGGCTTTAAAAAGTAGAAGGAACATGTTTTTAAAGGAATAGTTTAAATTGTCTTGTCTTTCTACCTGGACTTTTTCACATGTGCAGCTTGTGTGTAGTTGTGTGTGTAGTAAACGCCAGGGACAGAGAACTCTGGCTAAAGTGCTCGTCTCTCCTGTCTTCATGGGAGGGGAGCTCCAGAGGCCAGGGACATTTGTCTCCTCACTACAGTGTTAGTTTGTTCATCTCCCGTTTTGTGATGACGGTTAGTGGGTGGTCTAGTGTGGGATGAATCTTGTACTTTATTTTTGATGGGAATATATTTAAGGTTACTGTGTTGACTCGCCTTGAACTTGCATTTTCCGTAGTGGGCGGTTGGCAGGCGTTTTGGTGTGGTTTGTTTCTTCTTTCCTGCAAAAAAACATATATTGTCCTTATTGCTCCTCCTTGTTTTCTTTGCATGTTCCTCTCTAGTAACACCTTTATTTCATTTGCCTACATTTGTTTTCCTCTTTGTTGGTCATTTCAGCACCAGATACTGATTCCGCACATCATCCGCTCGGACATCGTGAAAGTGCGAGCAACTCTGGCCTCCCTGGAGGAAGACCGAAGTAAGAAAATCGGATTCTTTCGTCAACTACCACTGCGTCTGAAATTTGCACCAGTTGTCATGATGATCTATTCTGTCACCTGAGACCAACCCTGTTTTATTTTTTCTTCTTTTTTAAATTTTTTGTTTTGTTTTGTTTTGTTTTTTGCTTTTCTTTTGTTTACTCTTTTGTGTGGATTATATAGGCTTTTTAAGGTCTCATCTTTCTCCTGTTTGCCTTTCCACCTGGACTTTTTCACACGTGCAGCTTGTGTGTAGCTGTGTGTGTAGTAAACGCCAGGGACAGAGAACTCTGACTAAAGTGCTCGTCTCTCTTGTCTTCATGAGAGGGGAGCTCCAGAGGCCAGGGACATTTGGTTGTAACAAGTTCCTGTATTTATTAAGTTTTTGTTGAAATTTGCCATTTTCAGATGGCCCAGATTTGGGACAGTTTACCAGTCTCCCTCCCCCCAATAAAAGAATAAAATAATTGGTTGAATGCTTTCCAAAGGGGAAACGATCTGGAGTATTATTAGATCTCTTCTGGTTTCACCAAACAAAAAAGAAAATCAAGACAAGATCAGGCTTAATATTTGTCAATATTGTCTTTATTGGTCAATGGACTTTGTAGTCAAGGAAGAAATGGCTGTATTTTCCTAGCTTATAGAAGACTTTGCCTGGTCATGCAAATCTTATGTCAGACCTCATGTTGGTAAGAGACGACGGTATTTCCTAACTTGTTTGTGGGTTGTTGGCGGATGCTCTGACATGTTTTGCTCCTTCTTTCTTATCAGACATCTGTCTTCCTTATCTCCCACCCCCCCCCCCCTTTTTTGTGTGTGTTTGTTACACTCTTGTAACACCTATATCTTCGGCACTTATCCGACCGTACTGTATTTTGTTGCCGGTGCAGTAAAATATTTTAAAAACTCAATCAACTTGTTTTGGTGGTTGTTGTTGCAGAAGAGAGTGGCAGCCTGAGGCCGCAGAGTCTACTGAACGTGCTGAATGAGCGCTGCGATGGGAACCGCAACCTGCTGCACATGTGTGTGGCCGCCTGCATACCCCAGTCCAACAAGGAGTTTGATGCCAATGGTAAAAGTTCAATCCGACTCGGCACGTCCTCCTCCTCTTTCTTCCTTCTCCTCCTCCTCCTCCTCCTTTTCTTTATTCTCTTTTTCCTCCTCCTCCACTTGTGCGTGTGACACAAATTTCTGTTCAGAGTTGTGTTTGAAAGTCTTTTTTTCCCCCTTTAATAAGTTTTTGAAATTTTTTTGGGTAGGTTTAATACCACGTTACTTTACAGCAAATTGTCTCCACTTTTTATTTGTTTACTCTTAGCCACTCCGGTTTTTAGACATAAAATCGGTTGATTCATTTGTCTGTCCATTTGTGTATCCTTCTATTTTTCCTTTTAATTTTCATCCTTCCATCTTTGAATTCATCCATTAAAAAGAAATGGGTCAACAAGCAATAAGAGTAAGACAAAGAAAGCGTTAAAGAAAGATACCAACCCCAAAAAAGTTGTCTCTTATTCTCTTTTCCTCCTCCTCCCCCTCCCCTCCTCCTCCTCCCCTCCTCCCCCAGACTCGAACCAGTTGAGCTCCAGCTCATTCAGCTGCACCTTGGATGCGGTGACCAGTGCCGTGGACGCCATCGCCTCGCTGCAGTCTCGCTCCTCGGAGAGTTCTGCCAGCAGAAGGTGAGGGGAGTTGTTGCTCCGCATACGCACTTACTTACTCTTACACGTTCAAACAAGCCCGTGTACCTGTTTTCATACACACTGTTTTAAAAAATATTTTATATTATACATACTTACTTAATCTTATTTATATATATATGCAAACAAATACATGTACATTTCCGAACATACAAAGTTTTTCGTTAAAAAAAAAATTAATTAAAAACCAATATATGCAATCGTATATGCTTAAAGTATGCACACATTGAGACAACAGATATACTCCTGTTCACAAAAATATACATGGGCTTTCATACTCTTTAATATGGTAGATAGATTTGAAGCAGCCTGCCTCCTTAATAAACTATATTGTGATGATGGGGGGGGGGGAGGGGGTTTAACATTTCAATTACAATTTTAAAACCGTATTTCCACATGAGCGAATTTTTTAAAATCATATTTCAGCATAAGTGAATTTTTAAAATCACCACACATTTTCACAATTTTCCAGCATGAGTGTCCGTGAGCTGATCCGGAGAGCTTCATCTGCGGCCCGAGGAGTGAGCGGGCTGGACGCCCCGGACAGAGACGACTCAGGGATAGCAGTGCCCACCATCAACTGGCCCTCGGATCCCCCGCCCAGTTACGACTCCATTCCGTCGTGTGAGGTTTTTTGGGTTTTTTTTTTATATGTTGTGTCTGTTACATTTGTGGTGTGGCTGTTTTTTAAATTTTTTTTGTGTGTGTTTTTCTCTCTCTTAATTTGTTATTTCTAGAAAAGATGCAGGGTAAAGATTTAAACTGAAATTCAAAGAAGTATCTACCCATATCATTTGATAGTTTTAAAAATTGTCTGTAGTCCTTATCTTTCTTTCTTCTTTTCTATGTATGTTACTCTGTTTCAATGCCTTTATCCTCTGGCACTTTCATGACCTAGTTGTATTGCAAGTAGCCTAAAACTGGTATTAAAACTAAGCTACTGTGTGATGGTTATCATTGGAACTTGCCACCAATTACTACTTATATGACCCAATTATGTTGCAAGTGGCGTAAAACTTGTGTATTCAAACGAAACTACATTATGTAGAACTGAATGATAGTTATCATTCTCACCTGCCATTGATAAGAGAATACTTTATTGTCCTAGGGGGAAATTTTTCTTGGCCTTACAGGACTTTAAAAACATATTGCTCTCATTAAAATTCAATATAAAAAGTAAAGCTGACAAAATGTACATATCACATCAGATGCATCATTCAACCACATGCAGGAATTTAATTTCAAAGACCTTAAGAGTTATATAGATACAAGTTTATATTCGAAACAGCAATACACATTGATGGTTATTCTGACAGTAGCCTTATACCAGATGGAAAGAAACTTCTTTTGCTTCTTTTTTTCTTTGATTTTAGAGGTACATATCTTTCACTGCGTGATTTTGCAATTTGTGTGGAAAGGGGGTGTTATGGTACATATTTACCGCTGCATGATTTTATAATTTGTGTGGAAAGGGGGTGTGATGGGTTCCAACTCGAGCACTTTTTTCATTTCTCATCTTCAGCCGAGTGGCCGTCGAGACACGCCAGTCTGGCGGCAGGAGCCAGTGGAGGCGGTAGTGGTGGTGCTGGTGGTGGAAGTGGCAGCAGTAGCAGTGGTGGTGGTGGTCCTGGTGGTGGTGGTAGTGGCGGTGGAGGCAGCGGCAGCTCTGGCGTAGGGGTGAGCGGCCCGTCAGGCGTGTCGTCGGGTTCAGAGTTCAGCACGGTCAGCCTGGGTCCGGTCAAGCTGGAGGACAAGGAGCGGCGCGGCCTGGCCCTGCAGATACTGGACATGGTGCTGGCCGCTCCCGTCTTCCAGCCCCACCTGTTTGAGCTGCTCAGCTCCAAGTAAGTGCGGTCTTGTTCTCTTCTTGTTGTCTTCTTCTTTTTCTTCTCCTTTGTCTTGTAGTTGTTGTTGCTTTTGCTCTTCCTCCTCCTCCTCTTTCTGTCCTTTTCGCATGGCATTTAAAAAAAATGTTTTTTATTCTCTTGCAAACCTAGTCTTCGATACTGCCCGGGGTGGTGCCACTGACTAAAGTGTCTTTAGGCTATTCCCAAAGGAGGGACATTTCTCGTTCTAATGCACAGTAGAATTGTAAACTGGCTGATCCAACAATGTCATGCTCATAACTGTGCCCGAACTACAACAGGGAACTGCTGCTTTTTATTTCCTATTCTTTTCTATCGTCATTTTCCTCTACTTCTTTTGTATGTTTGTCAGACTCTTGTGACCAGCTATTTCCGGGGTACATTGATAGTTGAAGCAGACTTTATGCTGTTGAAGCTAGAGAGGTGAGCAGAGTACGTCTGATTCCCTTTAAGAACTTCTCTGTTGACATCCACCCCTTGGCACTTATATGACCTTATGCAGTTGTGAGTGCAGTAAAGCCTCTACTAAAACAAAACCAAACTAATCTTCGACACTAATGTGACCTGCTTGTGTTGCAAGTTTCAGTAAAACTCTTACGAAAATAGAAATAAAGCAAAAATCTCTTTATTTAAATAGACCTTTTTTTTTACACAGTCGTTCATTTCTGTTTGTCCGACAGGAACGCTGAAGGCTGCACGCCGTTCATGCAGGCTGTCTGTGGGCGCGCGTATCCAGCCGCTCTCTCCCTGTTCCACACTGCGCTGAGTATACGGGGGATGAACCGCGGCCCTCAAGACGAGGCGATGCCCACTCAGCAACAGGCTAGCAGTGTCAGCAGCAACAACAACAGCAGCAGCAGTGGTGGTGTTGGTGTAGCTGGAGGTGGGGCGGGAGGAGCAGCAGCAGCAGGAGGAGCAGCAGCGCCGTCGCGCGACGCGGTGCAGATGGACATGCTGCTGTCAATGATCTACCCGCCGGGCTCCAGCCTGGACAACTCGCCGCTGCACGTGATCTGCGCCAACGACACCTGCAGCTTCACCTGGACCGGCGCCGAGCACATCCATCAAGTGAGTGTGCGGGACATCATCATCATCGTAGTCATCATTAACATTTCCTCTCTCATCCTTGGTCAGGATATAGACCATGAACAAACGTTCTCAACCTTTCCCGAGAGCGGGACAGGGGGTTGTTTTTTGTTTTTTATAGTTTATTTTCTTAATGTAGCATATGGATTGCATGTTTTTTCCTAAAGTACTTAATGCAATTTTTTATGCTTTCCTTTTTCTTTTTCTCTTTCTTTTTCTTTTCTTTTCTTTCTTGAAGTGCCTCAGGAGAATAATAATTTAGTGTTGAAAATAGGATTAACGATTGACATCATGTCTATTTTATTTTTATTTTTCTTCTTGTTCCTCTCTTTCCACCTCCCCTTTCTGGGCGCAACTGTGATATTATTTGTTTACCATTGGGTTTTTTGTTTCATGTATTGTTGTTTCTTGAGTATTATAGAGTACAATTGATATTTTGTATTTGCTATACTTTTCTATATGTTGGAAATGGTATCTTGTCTGAACCTGTTTTCTGCATTTGTTTTTACAAGGATGGGCATTCTCAGTGTTTTTTTATAGCACTCAGAAACTGATAATTTTCAACCTGAATGAAAAAGAAAATGTTCATTCTCTTGAAATTTTAATCACATTGTTGTTTAAACATAATTTTAAATTTTTAATATTGTTTGGTTTTTTTTTTTCATGTTTTAATTTTTTTCAAAGAGTCATACCCATCCCTGTCATTGAGAACAGTTAAAAAAAAAAATCTTCAACTGTAATTTTTCCGTTGCCTTATAGAAGTCTTCTTCCTCCTCCTCCTCCTCCTCCTCCTCCTCCTCCGCTTCCTCCTCCTCAACTGCCCCTCCTCTTCCTCCCCCTCCCCGTCCCCCTGCTCGTGGTCATGGCCCCAAGGACATATTTGAGTGCAAGACATGCGGGCTGACGGGAACCTTCTGCTGCTGCACCGAGTGCGCCCGCGTCTGCCACAAGGGCCACGACTGCAAGCTGAAGAAGACCTCGCCCACGGCCTACTGTGACTGCTGGGAGAAGTGCAAGTGCAAGGCGCTGGTGGCGGGCGTGCAGTCGGCCCGCCTCTCGCTGCTGAACCAGCTGCTGCGCTACACGGACCTGGTCACGGCGCCCAACTCGCGGGGGGACAACATCCTGCTCTTCCTGGTGCAGACGGTGGGCCGCCAGCTGGTGGAGCAGCGCGAGTACAAGCCCGCCAGGGCCCGCGTGTCGGGCAGCCGCAAGGCCCAGCTGGGAGATTTAGGTGTGTGACCATCGTTGCTCTTTTCTTTTTCCCTTGTCTTGACAGCAAAAGATAATAATGATGATGATAATAATAAGTGACATTTATTTTTCGCTCAACCCCGATTAAAGTACACAGCCTCTGCAACCATCGTTGCTCTCTTTTCTTTTACCTTTGTCTAGACAGTGAAAGATAATAATCATAATCATTATTGACATTTATGTTGCGCTCAACCCCGATTAAAGTACAAAGGCTCTGAGCTCTTTACAATTCTGTACAACAGTAATGTAAAACATCAATATAAAAACCGAAATGTCTTCAGCTGACATTTGAATAAATCAAAGATCTTGTCAGAATGTTAGTGTATATAGCACTTATGAAATGACAGCTTCCCAAGAAGTTGAGATTGTTTCAGAATGCTATCACTGTTAGGTCTGCTTGGGGAATAATGTTGATTGTAAAGCAGGCAGAGCTTGCTATTGAGTGGGATTTTGTGCTATATATATGCTATCCATTATTTTTTTGTTCAGGTTATGTGGGATTTTTCCCCCCGCGACGCTTCCTAAAATATAGGTGGCAAACAAGACATACAGTAACTTTGTTGATAGTATTTTGCCTCGCTGAAATAAAATGTGGTTATGAGGAGATTTGCGTATGCTGTTGCTCTCTTTATTTTTCTCTTCGGTCATGTGACTCTCATTAAATTGTCACCTCATGGGGGCATAAGTGATATTCAAAAGCAAAAGAGTTAAGTTGATAGAAGTTTGCCTGGCTGAGATGTTATTGTTGTTGTGATCGATCCAGCAACAGCTGGGCTCTCGCCCTTCTGTCCAATGCCATGTAGTGATAAGTGCAGGTTTGGTGCAGTTGCTGTAATGTTCCATAGAGTGTGTTGTCGATGTTTGGTCTCTTAGGAAGAAGGGTAGCTGTGATGTCATTTAGGGCTGTACAGTGGAACAGGTGATGATCCACAGGCCTGGCTGAGACCAAATGCGATAAGTGTGTTAAAAGATCAAGTAAATGTATGAGCACCTACTGGAAGATGTTGACTGCGTGCGTTTTCTCAAGCTTTTGTTACTCGAATTGAGACCCTCCAACTGACACACGGCTTCCATGCAACAGTTTGTTTCTTCTTTAAAAGCAAGTCATGATAATACTTTAGTGTCCCATAAGGAAATTTTTCTTGGCTGTACAGGACCGTAAAAACACATGCAGGTACTGGTATACATAAAAATTAAATTATATATTTCATTAAAATTCAGTATGAAAAGAAAAATAAAGCTGACAAAATGTGCATATCACATTAGATGCATCAGTCAACCATATGCAAGAATTTAATTACAAGACATTTAGAGTTGTGTAGATACATTCTCGAAATGGCAATACACGTTGATGTTTATTCTGGCAGTAGCCTTATTCTAGATAGTAAGAAAGTTCTTTTGTATCTGTAAGTTGAACACAGATAATAGACTCTTTTTTTGTTTCCCCTTTTTAGCTGTACGTCTAACATGCACACATACACACACACACACACACACACACACACACACACACACACCCCTACTCCCCCGCTGCAAGGACAGGTATTTTGATTGCTCCATGATCTTGTCTCTTTACTCGACCTAACAAACAATCTCTCTCTTTCCCCCAGATGTAGAGATGCCAGAGCACGACTTGGAGCCGCCCCGCTTCAGTCGCCGTGCCCTGGAGCGCATCCTCAATGACTGGATGGCGGTCAAGGCCATGCTGACCAGTGGTCTCAAGCCACCAACTGCTGGGTACGGATCTTTTTGCTTTTGGATTAATTGGCATTTGGGGTTTGAGTTGTCTTTTCAGCTGAAAAATTTTTCCAATTTGTTTTTTTGCTTTGCTCCCAGCTTATTTTTCTTTCTTCCTTGTCATTTCCCTCCCTGCACAGGGGTCCTGACCTGATCTACGAGGAGCAGATTTATCTGGAGAGTCAAAGCGGCACTGCGAGGCTGGACAAGTTCACCCATTGCATGCTGGTCAAGTGTAGCAACGAGGTGAGAAGCGGGGGGGTTGACACATGAGAGGTATACAGAAACATGGGGCAGTTTTACCAGAATTGTTTGGTTAGACGAATTGGAGCGCTCTGTGTGGGTGTGATGTAATGTAGCAAGTAAATAAATGGAGATGTGTGTTGGGGGGGGGGGGGGGGGGAGGTATTATTTCAAAAGAGACAAAAAGAAGTGGTTTTCATGGAGTTGGATGTCTTAATAGACATATTTAAATCGGAGTTCTTTGCCCTGTGGCGAGATTAGGAGCATAAGATATGAAGAGTTATACTTGGCCCCGAGACCCCGTTTTGTGTCAGTCAGTGGGGAAAATTGGTCTCTAAATGTATGAGAATTGACTGTTTTGGTACCACCACCAGTGGCCCTCAAGAAGTGGTGGCCCTTTTATCGTTTGACTAATAGTCTGACAAAGTGTATTCAGCTAGTCTCAAGCTGTTGCCGTGGGTGGTTGGTGGGTGCTCTGGTGTGGTTTGCTTCTTCTTTCCTATGAAACATCTATCGTCCTTATCTCCCCTTCTTCTTTTTTATGTTTGTTACTCTCTTGTAACACCTCTAATCTTCTGGCACTCATATGACCTTATGCAGTTGCAAATGCTGTAAAACCTCTACAAAAACTAAAAAAACTAAAAGCTGTTGCTCTGTTTGTTCCCCTCAGATGTTGGACACCCTGCTGTCGACGTTGATCCGAGAGATGCAGACAGAGGAGAGTGCTGCGCGGCGTGACGAGGCGCGCCAGGTGACTCGCCGGTTCGTGCGCTCGGTGGCCCGTGTCTTTGTGGTTCTCAACATTGGCATGTTACCTGCCTCCGGCAAGAAACGAGGGTAAGTACCACTGACTCTGTGTGCTTGCGTGTAGTTATTCAACTCTTTGCGGACGTGCATTCTGTTCATTCAAACTCTTTAAGACACGATGTTCCGGAATACTAAAAGAAGAAAAAACTTATTCATGCATAGTTTTCAATTCTGTTTCCTTTATTTGGTACTTAAAAAGACAGATAACAATAATGTATACTATAATATACGCATTTTTTTTTTTCTAGTCTGTATGATGGTTCGAAATATCCCGCAACTTTGATTTTGATCTGCTACTGTCGGAGTATGTGTCCGCTTTGTCCTTAACGTGTTAACAGACTCTCTTGGTTTGTGTATTGAGCCAAGTCAGTTTGAAAATGGTTGACCATGAAAGTATTTATCACAGGAGAAAATGTTGTCTGATTCTGCCTGTGTTAAATTCTGTTTCATTATAATTTTAAAACATTTTTACTGTAAAAAAGAAATCATGTTTGTGGATGGTTGGCTAGTGCTCTGGTGTGGTTTGCTCCTTCTTTCCTATCAAACATCTATCGTCTTCATCTCTCTTTTTTTGTGTTTGTTACTCTCATGTGAAACGTCTAATCCTCAGCACTTATATAACGTTATTTTGTTGCAAGTGCTGTGAAACTCTTACTAAAGCAAAGGAAAAAAAAATCTTTCCCCTCTGTTGTTTGTATTGTCTTGTTTTTTCCCCTTCACTAAATGAACATAATTATGTTGGACATACTTTTCTATACTATGTTTTTGTGTTGTCGATGGATGAAGCTATTAAACCAACTCACTGGATGTTTTCTTCTTTTTTTTTCTGTGACCATCTGGCAGCCTCCATGCCCAGCCATGCCAGCCGCTGATGAAGTGCAAGAGAGTGTTCCAGGCGCTGATCACCATCGCCATCGAGGAGCTGTGCCAGATGGCGGACGCCCTTATCGCCCCCGTGCGCATGGGTGTAGCCCGACCCACCGCGCCCTTCGCGCTGGTCAGCATCAACTCGGATGCTGTTCAGGTTAGTGAAAAACAAGACTATTTTGGGTTTTTAAAAAACTTTTGTATGTAGTATGTTTGTGTTTGTTAGTGTGTATGTGACAGTGCACGATACTGTGTATGTAGAATGTTTGTGTTTGTAAGTGTGTGTGTGTGCAGGTATGTTTATGTTTTTCTCCTATTGTCTGAGAGACAATGTATCTAGCATTGTGCTAGGGCACCTCAGACTACATCGCCAAAGTGAGAGAAGATTTTTTCCCTCCGTTGTAGTGAAGGTCTCACAATTCACATGGTTTTTCTCTCTTCAGGGCAGCGAAGAGCTGTTTGCTTTGGATCCATTACCCCCTCGGCCTTCATCGGCTGATAGCACTGCCCAGAGGATGCCGATAGTGAGCCACCGGTCACCCCGCCACAGGTCGCAGCCCTCCTCCAGACCTCCCGCCGACGATGAGCGGATGCCGGTGGACATTGAGGAGGTAGGTGGAAGTTTTTCAGAAAATAAGATCGCTTGGTGGTCCAAAATGGATAAGAGTAGGCTTCGGCCGCCATACGTGCAAATTATTCTATGTTTAATGTGTCCGGGACGCTCATATGACCTTATGCGGTTGCAGGCGTCTTAAAACACCAAAAAATAAGTTTGGGCAAGTGGATTTGCTGGTAGTTTCGGGTCGTTTGTATTGTGCAGCATGTTTTCCCACGATGAACACTTGAGCTAGTAACTAAATGTACCTCACTGGATTCAATTAAATACTTAGATCTTTGTTTAGCACATTCTTTGTAAAGGAACAAAGGAATTTGGCTGCTGTGACATCATTAAAATTTTTATTTTTTGAAGTCTTATGCTTTTATTCAGAGACCCACAGATGTACATAAAATGATGTGCCACGACATGGTGGAATCAGACGCTTGTCAATTTTTAGGCATATGGAGTTAATGGCATCGTCTAAAAGCTTATTCATTTGCCTTGCTTTTTATGACAAAACACCCATCTATGGTAAATAAAAGTAAAAATATTTGCGATGGAAGGACGTGGAGATGACATGGTTTCAGCGGTTAAAGTATCGAGAAAATGGCCACCAAAGTTTTATAACTTCTTTAGCTTGACAGTCCGTGAAAACTGAAAATCTACATTTTTTGTCCCATTAATCTACGTTTTACAGTAAAATTCACATGGAAATGTGTTTCATATGGACCTAAAAGGTGTTGAGCCAAAGAAAACCCCCAAAAATTGATAAAAGTTGCCAAACTGGAGAAAAAAATAACTGTTTCTTCAATTTCATAATTTTAACAAGCGCCTGATTTCACCACAATGCCTCACAAATAGGTTTTTTTTTTAAAGATAAGGAACAGAATTGTGGCAAATATTTTTACACACACACCACTGCATGAAAGCTTTTTGTTCCTGCCGTCACTCGCGAGTAATTTCTTTGCCCTTAGCGAGACATTTAGTCGACAAGCTGTTCAAATGAACTAAGTCCAGAGAGTGACATTTTTCAGGAAAGCGAGAAAAAAAACTAGATCTATTTTTCTTTTAACAATTGTACCTACTCGTATTTTTTCTTGCCTTTTATTTTCTACATTTAGAATTAAAATTTCCACAAAATATTTCTTGAGCATATATGCGACCATTACCTCTGACGAAAAAAGGGGGGGAATCCAAATTTTGGGCATAGTCCATCGAAAAGTTTGCTGACGACCAGTTTTCTTTGCTGCACTAACCAATTTACTCACGCTGCGTTTTGCTGAACAATGTCTTCCCAGGTGGAGGTGGTGGAGAGTATGCAAGTGGACGACGAGCACAGTGACCGGGAGGACCGCGACGACCGACAGTCGGTCCACTCGGACCAGGACCTGGACCACGACCCTGAGCAGCCGGCACCTGACCCGGAGGACGGTGAGTTCGTGAACGGAGAGTTTGTTCAGATAGGTTTTTGTTTCTGTGTTTGTTGGAGGGTGCGTAGTTTGTAAACGGAGAGTTTGTTGAGATACGTTTTTGTATCTGTGGTTGTTGGAGGGTGCGTAGTTTGTAAACGGAGAGTTTGTTGAGATACGTTTTTGTATCTGTGGTTGTTGGAGGGTGCGTAGTTCGTAAACGGAGAGTTTGTTGAGATACGTTTTTGTATCTGTGTTTGTTGAGGGGTGCGGGCTACTGGGAGGCCCTTCTTCGTTTCTTTCTTGTTTTCTTGCTCTTTCTTGCTCTCTTTTTTTATTACTTTCTTCATGTCTTTTTATTGTGTCTGTCTTTCTTTGTTTCTTGCTTTCTGTTCTTTCTGTCTTTCTGTCTTTCTTTCTCTCTTTCTTTCTTTCTTTCTTTCTTTCTTTCTTTCTTTCTTTCTTTCTGTAGTTTCTGTCGGGTGTATTTTACATGTCCCTGTATTTAGTGGTGGCTATTTTTTGGTGGTGTAGGTAGCTAGTGATTAGGCCACAGGACTCGTAGTAGTAAGATTGCTGGTCTTTGGGTTCAAAGTTTAGCTTGGTTTGACGTTGTGTCTTCGGGAAAGGCACTTAAACCTTTGAGCCTTGACCTCCTGAAGCTACTGTGTCCCTCTGTTTGAGCTCCTGAGCGATATATTTTTAACACGTATGATCGTCAGAATCTCATTCCATATCCCACTAAGGGTAGTCCTTGTTATTACCAGCATCTGATTCAGAAAGATCTTCAAAATAGTCAATAGGGTCTTGTGTAGTAAACGCGCCTGAACCGGGTTGGGGACGGGGCCTCACCCACCGTTGTACCGGTAGCTAGGCATATGGGCAGCTGTACGCATCACCGGTATATTTTAACACTGATTTTCCCATTTGGTTCCGTCCTATCAGAGGTGGACGTTACATTCAGAGGTTAGGCCTCTTAAGAAACAATTACCGTATTGCAACTGAGACAATTTCGCTCATTTTTCACTTCTTGTGACAATGTTTTTTTTCTTCTCTCAAACAATGGTGTGGTCCCTGCAGGCCCGGCAGAAAGTGACATGAGCCTGGTTATGCTGACGGAGGAATCGGACAGCGACAGCGAGAGCAGCCACAGCAACCAGGACAACGTGAGTGTGCAGAGGTCAGCAGTTACCATGGCAACGGCCGGCTCAGACGCAGGTAGGCATATGTGTGGCAGTATCATGTGAATGTGTTAGTGTTACTCGTATGGCGATGTTATACTCGTATAGTGTTGTTACACAATGCGATGTGTTAGTCTGTCTTACTGGTATGATGTGTTCGTCTTACTCCTATGGCTTTTTAACACAATTTGATGTGTTGTCGGTTTCAAGCGGGTGGTTGGAGGGCAAGCACTAAAGGCCCATTATTGCATCAATGTCATCATCATCATCATCATTGCCTTTCTCACCCTGGATTAAGATTTAGGCCACGAACAAACACTTTCCACCTTTCCCTGTCCTGGGCTAGTCGCTTGATGTCTCTCCATGTCTTCCCACTTTCCTGTAATTGCATCAATATGCTTTTTTTTATTCAGACACTCCAACAAAGTCTTCCCCTTGTTGTCACTGTCTGTTTGTCTTACTTTTTCCCAGCTCTAAATGACCATTATTACGTCGATGTGCTTCTCTTTACTCAAACGAATTTGTGGATGTTTTCAGGCCTGGGCAGCCTGGCCCACTTCTCGGAGGACTCTGGAGACTCTTCCAACCAGGAGGAGGACTACGAGAGCGAGGCAGGCGAGAGTGAGGAGCGGGACACGGACGAGTTCATCTACCTGGACGAGCAGCTGGAGCGACCGTCGACGGCCGGCGGGCCGGGGGCCCAGGGACAGCGCACCCTGCAGGCCCCACACACCATGCAGTGGGCCATCCGCCCGCGGGAGCCCGCCACTACCAGCTCTACCAGCCGCACCCCAACCACGACTACCACAACGAGCACTGCCGGTAGGTTTGGTGATTACGTTTGGGGGGGTTATTGCTTGTTCACTTTCTTTCGAACTCGTTAAAAAACTAGCTCATTCGGTAATTTACCTATGCCCACAAAACACTGCATGGCACCCTCAACAGGGCAGCAACCAAACAAAAATATCGTCCTTATCTCTCCTCCTTTTCTTTGTATGTTACTGTTTAGTAACGCCTGTAATCTTCGACTCTAATATGACCTGTTTGTGTTGCAAAAAGGGTTGTAAAAAATACTCATACCAAAACAAAGGTTAAAGCAAAATTATTTGTTTAAAAAACCCCCAACTATTACCAAAGCAAATGCCAAAAGGAAGTAATCACCGACCTCGAAGGGGGGATGAAGATGATTGAAATTTTAAAAAAGGTTGGGATAGTTGTAAATGCTTTTACATCATTACACAACTTAGATCATTTAGGAGGCAGGTGCTTTGACCGTGCCTGTGAGAGCCAACTCAGTTGGGTTGGATACAGCATTCCAGAAGACAGATGGAAATTGATACTCTATGAAAAAAAAAACCCAACCCCAAACTTCCTCACTCGCGGGTTGTGCTCCCAAAAATGGGTGATTGGAGGTGAGGTGGCTACTGGTAGGCTCTTGTATTTCTATCCCTGCGTTGTTCCAGTCCGTGTATCTGGTTTTATCCTTTCCGCAAAGTGGTCGTTATTATGTCAACATGTGTGGGCTTCTTGTCGTATTCAAAACAGCACCAACCCCCACCCCACCCTTTCTTTAAAATTCTTCAATGTTTTGTTTATTTTTCGGTCCTGTCTTCACTAGGAGGCAACAGCCTGATCTACATTGACCCATCCACTCTACGGCGGTCTGTGTCGGTGGCGGGCCCCACGGTGACCAACCAGGACAGCCCCGTCACCATGGCGACGACGGCTAGCCAGCTGGCTCGGGCCTTCGGCATTGTGCTGCGCCAGGTGACGGACCTGCTGAACGTGGTGCCGTACTACCACGCCCTCACACCCAGCCTGCCCCTGGTGCTGGAGGTCACTGCACAGGAAGAACAGAAGCTGCAGGTATTTGTGTGTGTGTGTGGGGCGGAGAGGTGGGGGAGGGGGAATGTGTTGGGGTATGGTGTTGTGTGTGTGTGT